GGGTACTCTTAAAATGAAAAAAAACATATACTTTGTTAGCAGATCTGTTCATTCTTAAAGGTATAAGCGCTATTAAGAAAGCCATTGTTCCTTCTAAAGCAGCTCTTGATTTATATGCCACCTAACCTTTCAAAAAGTTAACGTTTCCTGCTTACCCTCAGGAGCCTTGGGGACTGTGCTGGCTTCATTGTGCTTTGTCTTTCAAACTGTTTGCTGCTTGCTTAAAAGTTTGTGGTCCTCCCCCTCAAGACGAGCGCCCTGGCAGTTACACGCACTGAAGAAGAATTAAGAGAACCATTTCAGGTACTACAGAAGGCATCAAACCATGTAGCTTCCTACCCAAACTGCCATGAAGAAAATCTCTCTCCCAGCTCTCTTCTTCCTTGTTCCAGTCTTCTCCCAAGTAGCCCACACTAAGCCTTCTTCCCCTCCAGGGCATATCTCTTTTTCTCCATTCCCCTTCAAGTTCACTTTTCACCTTAAACTTCCTAACTCTCTCCAGATGTCTTTCAAACAAGATTTTTCCACCCTCTCCTCTCCATTTACTCCAAAACCAGGTTCCTTCCCACTGTCTGTTCTCTTCTAGAAATGTCCCGGGGCCCCTGGGCCCAAATGCTGATTCACAGGAGATGGATCCACACCACCCACCTGTTGCCATGAGAGATAAACACACACCGAAGCCAAAGGGAAAAGAGAAAGAGAGATGTCCAGCACGCCTTACACATCCACTGGGTGCACGTGCGAGCAGGGTAAAAGCGGGTACTACCCGCAGACGCCCTCGCTACCAGTCCCTCTGCCTGCTCCAGCTCCGGGAGCTGCTCCGACGCGCTCTGCCCTTCAGTCCTCGGCTGCGTTGCCACAGTTACAGCATTGCCGGTGCTAGGAGACAGGAATTTCTGCCTCCTTCTCTCCCCACCGCTGAGGGCAAACAGCCCCTTCCAGCGCAGCGTTGCCTGGGGCTGTGGTCAGGGAGATTCGGTTCCAGAACCAACGCGCTATTGTGCAGGTTCATTTTACCCCTGAAAACTTCCAATAATTTCTCGCAGGACATTGTATGAGCTGAGCTAAACTAAACACGGCAAGGGAGCTCCCATAACAATAAAGGCAAAGTCAGGGCAAATTTTCAAAGCAAGAAGTGGACCAACAAAGAGAAAAACAAAATTAAGGATTCACACGCAAATCTGAGGCATCTCTACCAGACACGGTACCTGGAGCAGGCTCGTTGCGTTGACCCTCGAGAGAGGCCTCACGCCAGGTCCTCTGCCTACCGCAGCCAGCCCTCCAACTTAACGTGAACTCTTCACCAGTGGCTTTGGATGCCATTTTTCACGCTGTTTTCTACAGATTGTGAGGACATAATGGGCAGCACAGTTTTCCTTGTGTTAGGTCAAGATCAAAGTTGAGAGGTGTCCTTTCCTGGCCACATGTGAAATTTTCTGTCACGGCTTCAGCTGCCCTTTAACGGCAAGGCACCTCGCCCTGCAAGCGCGCGGCAAGCAGCAGTCGCGGCGCGAGCTCGCGCGGGACCGCTCCCAGCAGCCCGGCGCTGCTTTGCAACACGGGTGCTTTCCTGCTAATTCGGGCTGACGCTGGCATGAAGACAAGCTCAATTAAGCAACAGTTATGGTAACTGTCGTTCCTCTGTGTACGACTCATGTTTTTATATGCGTGCTCTTTAAAGTTAAGTAAGTTACTAGGGCTGCTTGGGAAGCACTAAAAGCAGTTATTTTATATAGAGGAAAAGATTATATATGAATTTTTAGCAGAAGAAGTAATTATGTATGGTAGAAAAATTAATTACCAAGATGTGCACACTCAAACTGCAGCTACAGCATGCTTTGAAAACATGCCACAACCGTAAAGTCTCCAATACAGTTCTAAACACAGTGGAGCCGTTAAACTTTCTATTGCCATTATCACCGGCTTACGTCCCGCTATAATTCTATCAGTCAGTTTTTCCCCTATGCTTGCTTTAAAAACATATATAAAACCAAAAATTGAAATTCCCTTTTATATATAAACTCTGTATATAAACACTCTGAATACTCTTTATGCACAATTTCCTCTGTCTGCACAGATCCTTATACCTGACGAGCTCGTTGCAATCAGCACCCCAAAGCCACAGTTAAAAGTCACACAAAACCCCTCTTTGCCTTACAAAGCCGGCATGCTCCAAATTAAACACGCCATTTATCTTGTTGCCTTTAAAAATAATGACGACACTATTAACATTCAGCTTTGCAACACTCCCACGGGTGGCACCGCTCAGAAAGCCTGCTTAACAGCAGCCACGAGAAACATGAATGTTTTATTAATCCGTGGCTGTAGTTTGCGGCATTGCAAATTCCATACAGCAGAAAGGCCTGGTCGTCAGCACAGCTCCCCGCCGGCCCGTGCCACCATCCTGAAGGCTCTACAGAAGGGCAAGGCCAAGGCGCAGCGCGACCCCGCTGCCGGGGCCCTCCTGCAGCGAGCCGCCCGTCCCGGGCCAGCCG